TAGAGATCGTGCTCTAGTACAATGGAACGGTCAGTCCCTATCTGTATGTATACCAGGGCATGATCTATAGATGATCAAAATTATACAGTCATAGTACGAAAGGAGGGCCTAGATACCTTATAAGTAATGCTGTGGTGTACGAACAAGGGAATGTCTGAGGCATCAGAAAAACCCACCGAGCAGCAGGCCATCAAAGCATCACCGACGGCAGCGGCCACTGCCAATCCACCCGTCTAATCTTCTCCTTGCGAACCAATTTTTGCGGCCACAGGTTTTTGTCAGGAGGACGCCGAAGGCAATGAGTTCCTCAGCCCTCCTGTAGAGAGCCCCCCTGCAGACGTCGGCCAAGAAGACGACTCCTATGTCACGGGCATGACCACATCCGTTGATGTGACGGGCGAGCTCATGTTCCTAAACACTCATTCGGTGCAATCAGCACAGTGGGTCATCCGCAAGAAGGATGGCTCGCTGACACCTATCGCATTGTCCTACGATCTCCCCAAGACTGACGACGCGGGACAGCCCGTGGCGCCGGGAGCCCTGGTGACCATCGTGAGTTGGGAATTTGCGTATACAAGTACATTTTCCCAAAGTGCGGTCGTAATTTTCGCATTCTCCGGATGTCTGTCAGTATAATTTTTGATGACCTATATGCGGCACCGCCTACGTAGCATGTTTGTCAGACATGGAGGCATGTAATCCACCCAGGTGCAACAGAGTCAACGTTAGCGGCATGTTGCATGCATAGGGGCCGCATGGGGCGGCCTCGGTAGACCTGGATAGACATACAGACGCACCTTAGGCGTGTAGCAATAGCATAGCCGCTATGTCACTGGTGCATTCGCCTCCATTGAGTGAGCGTGAGCAAACCCCATGATCCCGTGCCCCATGCTGCGACATTGATCATTGCGGCTGGCGTACATAAAGTGGTGAGACGTAACTCCATATTGTTGTTGTTGTCTCCAAATGAAATCTGCTTCCGGCGCCGTAGAAGTAAAGATGCTCGCAGACTGGAGACATCTCCAACCAAGAATATTAATCGTTCCACCGCACGTCCTGTCCTCACATTCCTTCCCATGCCGCAGTCATGCAATATCGACCCCCTTGGCATCTGCAACCCCGTATCAAGCTCGAGAGCAGTCGTTCTGTCGGCGCAGCCTGCTTACTTGCCGGCTACCCAAGAGATATACCAGCGGTTGCTCGTCATTATCCTAGATTACTCCGCCTGTGGTGTACCCGCCACAGTCAACGAAACAACTGTGCGCTCAATTTTCCTGGGAGCCAATGGTAATGGCAATGGCGGCGTCGCAGAGACGTACAGACAGTGTTCATACGGCAAGCTAAACCTGAACACCACAGCCTTCAAAGTCGTGACTGTAAAGGCGAACTGCTCGGATGGCGTGGTGCAATCGTGCAGCTGGTGGAAAATGGCTCGGACTGGCGACAACGGAGCAAAGGCACTGCTAGGGAGTAAGGCATTTTCAGAAATCAGCCACTTCGCTTACGTCCCCCCAGCCCAAACACCCTGCGGTTGGTTGGGCATGGCCTTGCTCCCTGGGAACCAGGTATGGCTACGGCCCGTGGAGTATGGCCTTGACAGCTGGGCCACGATCATGCAGGAGACACTCCACGGCTACGGTGAGGTTTTTTGGCCAAGATCCTCCGTTGAGGGGAAATCGCAGTATGGTTCCACCTCCCTTCCTAGCACAATGATAGTTATCACAGTGGACCAGGTGACAGTCCTTCCTTCGTTGCACGGCGTCAGCCACGTCGATAAAACAGTTTCATCGTCTTTAGACAGGGTCACTGTAACATAGATGGGACCAAAAAAATAGATCTCTTTTATGGATTCATTGTATCGAATGGTCGATAGACGTACGCTCGGTGCAATCGTATAATGGATAGGCCTGAACATAGACGATGGTCTTTAAATGATGGAAATTTTACATCCGGCCACGACTCCGGCTGAAGCGGGCAGCAGCTGGCGCGGCTTCGCCATCGAAATAAGAACCGCGAAAAGCTGGAAGGGAAGGCGGGCCCACTAATGGCGTAGTGACCTTTGGGATTTGCCGTGTATTGCCGTATTGCTTGCGGGCGTCTAGGAAATCCGTATATCCTCCTTATAAACCCCAAAACTGCACAAAAGTCCAACCACGCAATATATATTCACGTACATATGCCGTCGTACCAGGACGAATCCGAATCTGGATCGTCAGGTACACATAAACTTCGTCAGGACAAAAAGATTCCTCTATTTCAAGCATCCAAACGCATGCACGTGTCTAGAAAGTGCTTACGGGTATACATGCATGTATGTATGTATATGTAGGTTGTACCTGTAGTATCTGGCCGCTGATGAAAAGCTCTCTCGAAATGCCGGTGGAGCGCTTAGCGCGTATTTGTAAACGTTATGTGTGCCGTACTAGGTACCAGCTACCACAGTACCCCGCCATCATCGTACGCTATAAAAGCGGACAATGTCTTCCCGCGCTGTACTTTTGCACTTGTGCTTGCTTGCCGCCCCTGTAACGCCAGGTCTCTGGCACTCTTGGAGGAATGGCATTGAGTACAAGGACTACACGACAACCATGGGCAGTGGGAGCGCCTGCCTCAACGCGGCCGAGCTAGCTTACATGGGCTGGGCAACACCCGCACCAGGCGGCGATAACATCGACTCAGAAGCACTGCCTGCAGGCACTGCTCTTACTTTCACTCTGCCCGCCACCTACCTAACTTCGGAAGGGAACTACCTCCATGTCATCCCCGACTGGCTGCCGTCGTACAGCAACATGTCCCAAGCCAGGAACTTGTACATCGCCGTACGAGTCAATAAGGGCGGCGATGCTCAGCTGGACAAATCACTTTTTGCGAACAGGGTGCACATTCATGCACTTAACGCAACAATGGTGAGTTGGTGTTGCTTAGGGTTAATGGAGGGGCGGGTGCCCCGACCATTATTGCTAAGTGCTGCTAAGTGCTGCTAAGTGCTAAATTGTTTTCGATGGTCTTTTTGATTTTTGATAGATCACAGCCCGGTATAATAGGATGGACGGTCTCTTACTAATGGACCAGGCCACGATCTACAGAGGATCGGAAATTTTACAGACAAATGCAAAACCTTGTCTATCTAGCTGCTGGTCTGTAGCTCCCAGCCGCCGCCGGGCGACCATAGGGGTGCGTCACAACACGACTGCCTCTATTAGCAGTGAACTAATTCATAAATTGTTCCATGCACTAACAACATCGATTCCATTGCAGTGAATGGATCCAATACATTCAAAAGGAACACGAATAAGGCATACATACACTTGCATGCCGGCTAGATGCCAGCTAACATCGTGAAATGCATCTATCGTGAACTTGCTTGCACAGATATATAGCAGCGATCATGCATTATTATCACGACGAACGTTCAACCACAACCATATTCATCAATGTATTCTGGACGGCAGGCAGCGCCTTGACTGTCCTTAGGATGCTCACACGGCGTTGTTCCTCTTTCATTTGCTATTTTGCTATCGGACCGTTCAAGGTCAACATGCCACTCATCCCCCCCCACGCACACAAGTTTAATACACACGTGTAAAACACACTGCCCTGCTTCCCACACGACCCTCAGGACAATTCATTTCCGAAGTCCTACCTGTACGCAGACCGCAAAATTTCCTACCTCACATCCATCACACCTCTTAGTCAAGTGACGTTGACGACATTCAAGCTTGTTGTGTACGGCGGATCCTGGGTGGATACGGACGTCCTCAGGGTGCATCTCTGCCGCTACAAGTCTTCACCCCAAGACTGCCCCTCCGTTCAGTCCCTTGAGCTGAGCCCTCCACCGCCGAGTCCGCAGCCATCACCGCCGCCGCCGAAGCCGTCGAGCAAGCAAGTGGGCCCGGCAAAACCCCGGAAGCGGCCCCCACGCCGCGATACAGCCACGGGTGCTTCTGCAGCTACAATAGTCGACGTGTCAGGCGAGCTCGTCCTCCTGAACTCCCACCTGGCGCCTCAGTGGACCATCCGCAAGAGCGACGGCTCCCTGGTACCCATCGCCTTGGGATACGAGCCCCCCACGACGGACGATTTCGGACAGGTCGTTTCGCCAGGAGCTCTGGTGACTATTGTAAGTTGATACTTGCTGAACACCAGATGTTGTGTGGCAGTATTTATGCAAATTATTTCTGTGTATATATGTATGTATGTGTGTGTTCCTGTCGGTGCCAAAAATTCATAAACTATAGCCAACGGCATCATCAGTCACCCTCAGAAGGCCTGCCCAGAGCGAATCTGCTTTATTTGAGTCTGCTACCCCAGGAGTACTGGAAGGGCCTGGAAGTCTTGGAGAAGAGGTGGCTGGATGGGAGGATGGCTGATTCCGATGGTCCTCCTTTCCCTGCCGGCTTTTTTTGAGCTGCTTCGCCTGTAAAATTCCAAGTGTCTATAGATCGTGCCATGATATGTTAGATAAGAACCGTCCGTTTCTATTTTAGCAGGGCACGCACGATCTACTAGCAAACACGCGGTAGATCATATCCGACCTGCCTAGTTCGCTCGATGGCAGCAGGGCCAAAAGAATCACGTGCCTTTCAACCACACGTGGGCTATTTATTTGTTGGCGTTACTATAAATGCTCCAAACAACTGCAACCTCATTCATACATGTATGGCAGCAACGGATCGATATGAGTACGCGATCGCTCGACGGTGGTAAGAATAGTGAACCTGCTAGCTTCTACTATTTCTGCTGCTTTGTGATTAGTCGATGGTCCTCATTCACTATTACGCAGGAAGAAAAAAGTCGCCTCATTATTAGTCGACACGACCTAACTTGCCGTTTCTCACTTTTCCCTTTCCGTCCACCATGCTCCTCTTCCCTTTCCCTTTCCGTCCGCCGTGCTTTCAAATCTATTCTTGCAGTCGTGTATTATGGATGACGCCCGTGGCATCTGCAATCCGGCGCCGGGCTATAGCACCATCGTCTTGTCTGCGGCGCCCATGCTCTTGCCTGCGATCGGCACAGTAAACCAGCGCCTGCTGGCAATAATTTTGGACTACTCCGATTGCAATCTACGTGCCTCGATGGACGAATCATCCCTGCGCAAAATCTTCCTTGGGCCGGATGGCGACGGCAGAGGCGGCATCGCGAAACAGCTCACGCAGTGTTCTTACGGAAAATTTAACCTGAACGCCACGGCGTTCAAGGTAATTACTGTAAATATCAAGTGCTCGGCACCAGTCACTTGCGACCCTCAACTCATGGCGTCGGCCGGCGATAGCGCAGCGAGAGCGCTGCTAGGTTCGGAAGCGGCATTTGCAAGCTACACCCACAGAACTTATATCATCCCCCCGGGCTTCAAAGACTCTTGCGTTTGGGCAGGCCTGGGCATACTCCCAGGTAGCCAGACCTGGCTGACGACTAGCGGGTACGGCGTTAACAGGATTGCGACGTTCCTACAGGAGGCGATTCACAACTACGGTGCGTGCGACATGGAGCTGAAGAGCTATTGGTAGTATAGGTGTTGCCTGCATCACAGAGATAGCACGCATCTACACGCACCTACATGCATAAATGCATAACGCATCTACAACATAAAACTCAATTTGTGTCGATGAGTGCTAAGAATAATAAACATATAAATTCGAACTTCTTAGTTCCAGCAGCGCGGCGCACCCACTCAACCTACTAACTACTAATAAAACGTCTATCCATGTATGAATGTATCAAGATGATGGCACATAGCTTGCCATGGATGCCATGCATAGGTAGTTGGCATTACAGTTACGTTAGGACGATGCGAACAGTTAATAACGGGTGGCGAATGGCACGCATACCCATGTTTGCCTGTCTAAACCCACCACCAGGTCTCTGGCATTCTTGGCAGAATGGCTGGGAGTATGAGGACTACTCCACCTGCATGGGCCGTGGTGATGTCTGCCCCAACGCGCCCGAGCTAGCCTACCTGGGCTGGGCCACACCCGCGGCATACGGCGACCGCATTGACTCAGAAGCGCTGCCTGTAGGCACTGCTCTGAGCTTCGAACTGCCCGCCACCTACCTATCCCCGGACGGAAACTACCTCCGAGTCGTCCCCGACTGGTTGCCATCATACAGCAACAAATCTGAAGCCAAGAATCTGTACATCGGCGTCCGAGTCAACAAGAACGGTGACGCGGCGCTGTCATCCTTCTACGCAGGCAAAGTGAACATCCACCAACTCAACGCTACTCTGGTGCGTTTTTATGCTGTATGCATATCGTTAGCAATATATTAGTTTTTACATTTTGCTAGGTCTGCTTTGCGCGCTGCATCAAACTTTGATTGACATAACACGATGCACGATGTTAGCTGGGATAATTGGGTTGGAATTATTCTTGCTGCTAGGGGTAGGCTGTTGGAGGTATCCGCTGTTGTATCTGTTATATCGTGACTACGGAATACATTACCGATCGGCGGTTGTCGGATCCCGTAATATAGCCCGGATGCAGCATTTATCCCCTCTCGAATTGAGGCGTGCGCGATCTTGTCCACTTTAGATTCACCGTCGGTGTGGCTACCTCCCACCAGTATGGCGAGCAGCTGCGGGGCTCAGGGGCTATAGGCTCCCACTCAGCAGCCGTATGGGATATATATCGATAAGGCTGGAACCTGAATTGGGACTGGGAAATCTGCTCAATACCGAATGTTGTATTACGACTACGGGATAGTACCGACCAGATCCCGCGATGCACAAAGGATACAACAGTACCTGCAATCCTGCCAGCACTAGGGTTGGTAGCCACCGCCAGTTGGTAGCCTGCAGGAGCTACAGTTTTATTAGCACTCCGGCAGCCTGCTTGCTTGATGGTCACGTTGAAAGAGTAGCATAAATAAATTAGTACACTTGAAGAGTTTTAAGTTAGCTATTAGGTGCGTTTGGTGTGTGTTCACCATGGACCATAGGCACAAGCCGGCCCTGCCTGCTGTCGGGGTCGGTGGTTAAGGTGTTCCTGCTGCCGCGCTTCCTTTCGTGTGTCGTTGTGAAAATGGGGTCATCCAAACCCGAATACAAATACCCAAAGACAGAGACCTCAACCACCTGATGTGGCAAAACTCCACACCCTGGATGCGGCACGTCGGTCGTGCTTGGTGTTGAAAATGCGATAATGCATTGTATGAAGAGTAGTGAGACAGGCATGCACCACTACGCCGTGATGTTCGCGCGCTCACGCTCCCTAGCCAGGGTTGCACAGGCCGACCCAACGACAGCCAGCCAATCGGTCTAGGGCGGGCCAGCACCATAATATCACGACATACATACCGCGTGAACACACACAGGTGAACACACACAGGTGAACACACACATTGTCCCATGCGAACTCGTGTCCTAGGAGAGTATTTGCGTGTGTTTTGGATGTCTCCTCTTTCAGGTTTGGGTGTCAATAGCTTTTACTCGTGCAATTGGTGGGTACGATTCGAAGTGCTTCGGAATCCATTTGGCCCCCATGGTCAGCAAACATGCACATAGTAACGACTTCCGGATGGTGCTCGCTTTACCTGAAATCAACAAATTAAGGGAGCTGACGCCCTTTTTGTCTTTCCCCATCATCATAAAAATGATCACAGATTACCGATATTCAATGGCCTAAGAGCTTGGTCGGTCTCGCGCCTTATTCCTCTTGACTTATGTGCGCAGGATAATGATCTGGGCACCTCCACCGCCTACAAAGACCGTACCATTTCCTTTGTCAGCACCATCACACCCCTTAGCCGCGCGATCTTGAGCACCTACAACCTCGTCGTGTACGGCGGGTCCTGGGTTGGCGGCAAGGATATTCTCAGAGTGCACCTATGTCGCTATCAATCTGACCCACGAGATTGCCCAAGTCTGCAGTTTGTGGAAGAACGCTCTTTGCCCCCCTGGCCTCCAAGGTTGCCACCACCCCCACCACCGTCACCCAGTCCCCCACCACCATCGCCACCGCCCAGACCTCCACCATCCCCACCACCGTCACCCAGACCTCCACCACCGTCACCCAGACCTCCACCACCATCGCCACCGCCCAGACCTCCACCACCATCGCCACCGCCCAGACCTCCACCACCATCGCCACCACCCAGTCCTCCACCACCATCGCCACCGCCCAGACCTCCACCACCATCGCCACCGCCCAGACCTCCACCACCCCCACCACCGTCACCCAGTCCTCCACCACCATCGCCACCGCCCAGACCTCCACCACCCCCACCACCGTCACCCAGACCTCCACCACCATCGCCACAGCCCACATCGCCACCACCCAGTCCTAGACCAGTGAACAACCCTCGTCTTCCGAACCCGCCCCGACGGCCGTCAAACCCGCGGCAGCCCCAGCCTCCGCAGAGAAATACTCCACCCAAGTCATCCCCCAAGACAACGCCACTGTCACGCGGGGCTCAGCAACTAAATTAATATCTTCTGTGTACGTATGTGTTGTGACCATAACGTCAGAACTTCAATCCCGGGCCAGTGCCTGGGGAGTGATATCTGGTCAGCTGGGCTCTTTAGTTGTGTTCAAGTCTGCCCCAGAAGAAGAAGTGGCAAACTGGCTTATTAATAAAAGCACATCGATCCCAGGATTTGCGCTTTGCACCAGCGAGATTGGACCAATGGCTTCGGCCGCATGCATGGCCACATGTCAGGCGCAGGAGCAGGTTTCGGGAGACTGCTGGCGGACCACAGGCGTCCACCATCTGCGCGAGAAAATATCCGCTGTTTGCTTCTGAAGCGGCAGCGAGATTTAAAATCTTTCAATGCCAACCAGGTCCTGAATGCACGCCAGTATGTCTCAGGGCCTGAAGTCCGAGAGTGTGTATTTAGTCTTTTCTTCTTCATCTTTTTTTTGTGCACGTGTAACTCTATGTTACATCTTTCAAGGGGGCAAGTGTGGGCCCGAAGGCACCCATCCAGCAACCTTATAACTGCATGTCTAAACGCTCCCGGGTTCAGCCGGGGCCGCCTTGCCAAAGATTTCAGGCATGGATGGGCTGTTGGGCGGGATCTCCAGCGTCTCTACTTATGCTGCCATGTCTGATAGGTTCCCATCTAGTTGCTCGGTTCGCTGAAGCACCGCCAGCTTGAGACCCTTCGCTTGCGAGATTGGAGGCGCTTGTCTGTGAAGGTGATGCAAGTGCCCCGCACACAACGGGGCCGCATCCGCACCCTCATTAGTGCCCTGCAGACATCGCATGACATATGAACAGGTGTCGGGTGTAATAATCTGTAACGCTTATGCCCCGGTTTTAACTATTACCTGCGGAGAATGTACTTAGATCTCTAATTCCTTGTGGATATCTGGTCATGTCTGTAGATGGATTTATTACTTGCAAGGTGACCCCGGGATTCGGCCAACCATCAATGGGGCCCCTGCCAGCAGACGTCATTCGGGAAAAGAAAAACATTGCCTGTGGGCTACGCCTCCACACCACCCACCATACATAGAGACATACGTACGTACGCTCTTCCGTCACCAAACATCCATGCATGGCAGCAGCCCGATGCGTGTTTGGATTGGCTTTTCGTTGTTGCTATTGTATCTCTCAACCAGAACACAATCCGATGGTGGCGTCGGCAGACACCGATTGGAGGAATGTTGTCCGCATAAATAGCAGAGGTGCAGCCATGTCATGGGTTGTACGGCCCGTCCCGAGAAAAGGGCACACCGTTAACCTACACATGCTTCCAATCGATGACGGGGCTCCAAGAGCTAGAGACCAGCGTCCCAGTTGTAACCTGCGCTACGACCCCAGCCCACACTTCTGCAAGTATGGACTTCCGCCTGAGGCGGCGTTTACTTGTAGGGGCATCCGTGTCCCACGCATGCCGCCGTCGACCCCGAGGTCGACGGAGCCATAGATCTGATAAAAGGGTTGCCAAATAGGCCGTTGGAAAGTGGTTACAGTTCAAGCAAACTTATTCATTAACCTTGCCAAGCGGGAATGGAAAAATAGACAAATAGCAAACGTCTCAGTTTGCGACCCACGTTTTGGTGATAGTATATAACAGCTGTCAAGCTGGGCTGATAATCTTGCCTGTTGCAAACTACTTACTAGTAGGGCACAAAAAATCTTGGCATGGCATTGAAGAAGAGGTGGTTGACGTCTAGGAAAAGATGAAGGCAACCGTTAGCCGGACATTACAATCTCCGTGCACCACTAAGGTTGCCAGCGACCTCGGCACCACGAACGTTATCAGAGACCGAACCCAATCCACTACGCACTGCCCCGTGGGCTCCCTTAGCGGTTAGGAGCCACTTCATCAAGGGCGCTGCCGGAGGGGTAGTCTGTTGTGGTTAGCGGCTAAAACAGGAGGGCTCCCTAGTTCAAGGGAATACCCCTCAGAAACCCAACCCGGTATTGTATACCCGTATATTGTAATGTGTCATGTATTAGAGTAAAACGTTATCCGTAAGGGACCTCTCCCCCCCACTCTTGGCATGGCTTCACTGCAATCCACATTTTGTACGAGCCCGGCCACATGGACGGCAAGAAGGGTTCCGGAGCCGGTCAGTGGACGAAGGAATGCGCCGCTTCGCCACTTCTCCGCTTCCCCAGGACTCTCCTCCAACGGATTCTAGGCCGCACTGAACTGCGGGGTCAGAGCTGTGCAATGCACCGCTAGCGCAAGGAATGCACGAAGCGACATCACGCAGTCTGCTTGATACATAGATACACATCTGATGCCCTGACACAGCCTCGCCTGGCTTTCGTCCTACCCAGGGCCCTGCTCTTTACAACAACAACAACAACAACAACAACAACAACAACAACAACAACAACAACAGCAGCAGCAGGTAATACTCGTGCATCATTCGCAGTACACAAAAACACGCCTGCGCCACTGCCGGCAGGTCGCCAGGAAATTGGGCCGCAGACGCCGGGGAGTGCCCACCGCCTGAAAATGATTTGACGCCTGGATAAAAGCTGTGATGGCTCGCTGAGTTCGGCTCGGGAACGCGTTGCCGAACGCATTCATGAAAGCTTGCTCAGACGGCTTGTCCTCTAAAAATGTTTCAATATTCTATGGACCAGTAATGGCTTAATACTTGCCGCTAGCGTTAAAACCTGGCATGTCATGTAAAACCCAGCGTAGGACGTTTGATAAGTAGCCGTGTTTTTGGCTCTACCTGTACTACCCTACAAATCTTTCTGTACATATCTCCGCGTAATAAAAATGGTGTTGTATCAGTGTTGCCTACTCTGCACCAAGCCGTGATGGGACATGTAAGAACGACGAAATGAGCGCCCTCAAGTGACCCGGTTAGATCTTAAAATGAATTCTCCAGAGCGAGCAGGCGGACTCCATTCCAGCGTACTCGCTGGACCGGACATTGTCAAGAAACCCCTCGCGGTGTGTGGGTGTTACGAAACACAGACAGCAGCAGTGCCGCGCCGCGGGGATACATGTGCACCGAAGATACGGCACCGGAAAAATAATTTTGTGAGGTGGTTACCATCTACCCAAAGAAAACCTTCACTTAAGGTCACTAACAAATTCCCGGGGGGCAAAAGTATTCAAAGCACTGCTGCCGGAATCGGCACAACCGTCACGCCTAAGACACCTAGCCTGTCCCAACTAAACCGGACATAGCGAGGATAATCCTTAATCCCTCCCTCCCCATTCCTTACCATGCATCACAAAACCCCTCCCACTCCCCCAGTTACTACTTATTCTACCTGGGGGTAGCCCACCTCACTCCACGGGCACTACCGCCGGCACTATCGCGCACTGCTTTGCCTGAGGTCTGACTTTCCCCGGGGGCACCCCAACACCGCATCGTATCGAGGTCCAGCATTCCAACCACAGCACACCCGACCTCGCCCCAGCCCCACCCTGCAATGCGGGGAGCTCGTTGTGCGATTTTCCTCTGCGTAACCCTGGTCCGGCACATCGCGGCGGCGCACTGATGAGAGGACTGCACAGCAGACGACCGAAGTCAACGACACAAATTAAGGGGGTTCCTGAAGCCACCACCACCCCGGTCCTTGCGACGCCGCCATGCACCGCCAAACATGTTTACCAGCCTACGGAACGTCACACGGCATCACAGTTACGCGCCTACGCGGGATAGGACTGCCGATTCCGGACTGCCAACTTCTTGTTGGCCGCAATACAGCCTCGTTCCCTCCATTTTTATTCCTTTCCTCACACAAATCCCTTCACGTACTAATCTTTAAGAGCCGGTTTCCAAGCCGCGTCCAACGATAGCAACCGATAGGATCGGACGCATCTGGATAAGACCGAGCACAGTCTGTCGCGATCGCGCCTTTTAAGTCGCGCTTTCCTTTCGGGTAAGCCCAAGGCACAAATGCGCTCTGCCCCTGGACACCGTCATAGCTGCAGAGATGAGGGGGCTGGTGTGGCCGGGGACGGGGCTGGGGTTAGAAGATTTTCCACCCGACGCCTTGAACCCATGCCCTCCGATGCCACCATACAAAAACAGCTCGCTATCAGAACGCCGCTCTCGGCAAGTACAGGCAACCGTCGACGCTAGCAACACACGGATGTCAGCAAAACACGGGGGGTTGCCGGGAGGCGGCAGATGTTGGCGACAGAGCTTAGATGGCATCAAGTATATAGGAGCCAGCCGAACGCGGACGCGAAATATTTCGGAGATGCACGATACTGCGAGAAATGCAGACGCTAGGAAAACATCGGTGCAAACAGCAACAGGGTCGGGTGCCTGTGGATTGCAACCTCGCAAGGGCACCACCTTCCTGAAAGCCACCCGGGCACAGGCCCCCTCGCACATCGGCTCCCTTTCCCAAGCACTACACCTACAACCGTCAACTAGCTGCTGTTAGCCCATGGGATCCGCAGAGAGACTGAAAGGACCCATTCGCACGAGAACTTTTAGCCGCGACCTGAAAGAGGCATGGGACTGGGAGCGGCTCCGCAAACATTACCATAATGTCCGCATCTGGCACGACTGCCGGGACTGCTGCCGATCCCCTCTTTCCCAGCCACCACTCGGTGTCGGCATCTCTTCCAAAGGTTCGGCTGGGCAGCGAACCTACACCTGCTTTGTCTGAGATGAACATGTACCACTCTCGAGCTGTGAAAGCACACACACGTGCATACATACAGGCAGACACACAAACGCACACATATACAGACACACAGACACACAAGCGCACATACAGATGCACAAATACAACCACCGCTGGCAGTGGCTTTGTTGCGGTCATGTTGCCTCCGATCGTCACACGGCTGTGCGGTTAATGGTTGATGGGTAATAACCGCTTTACAGGCCAATTCCCCAGTTCGTTCGCAACTTCTCGAACGGTAAGGGTACCACTCTACATACTAGCGAGCTGCTTCGACCGCCAAATGATTCCCTCACTCCTACCGCCTAATAAGCCCTGCGGTCACCGACCTGTGCACTGCCTCCCCGCGAAAAGACGCAAGATGGCCACATGCACAGGAAGAAGTCCATGCAACTCGGCCCGGGCAAAAAGCGCCGCCGGGGCCGTGACCACCAGGCCTACCTCGCCAATCTTTTCCTTGAGCCACATGTTTGACATCCATATTCTGCGTCTCCCTTTCACAAGAAGACAAACTCAAAGTTCCCCCATACGTGGACCGCAGAGATAGGCATCAAGCCGTTGATTTTGTTTTTTGGAAAAGGAACTTCCCGTGATGTAACAGCCCAGCTTATCGTTTCAGTCAGTCCCTCGGGACAGCCCAGCCACCCTCCATCCGTTGGCTTGGCACCATCACTGCGCCTCTCTAGCACCTGCGGACCTCTGCAGAGTGCAGGAACCGCGCCTGTGGTGCCCGTTCAGCCGGCGTCACCCGGCTCACCTTCCCACAGACCCTAAGGAGACACCCAGAACCTATCCCCAGAGACTGCCCCCTGAACGGACACCGCTGTAACTGTACAGCCCCGCTCCACTTTGCAAGTTGTGAGACTGCGGCCCGGACTGTAGCAGTTGCTGCTGCTGCTGCTGTCCGGCTCCGTTTCCGTATGTCGAGCCCTGGGCCACCTGGGACAGCCCGCTGTACATCCCCGTACTGCCGTATTGCTGCTGCTGGGGCTGCTGGGCCTGGCCCTGTGTGAACGACGACGACATGCCGTAGATGTTGGACTGCACCGCCGGCTGCGCATAAAGCGGTTGAGGCTGAGCAGGCTGCAGTTGTACCGCCTGGCCGCCGCCGTACAGCCCGCTTCCGCCGCCACCGCTGGCGGCAGCAGAAGAAGCCATGCCGCTAGATGTCAGCTGCGCGAAACCCATATGTAATGATTGTTGTTGTTGCTGCGGCGGCGGCTGCTGCTGCTGCGGCTGTTGCGTTACCGCCTGACCTTGCCCATAACCGCTAAAGGTCTGCTGGAAGGAAGGTGCTGCGCCTGACGATGCTGCACCAAACTGCTGTTGCTGCTGCTGCTGCTGCTGACCCTGCAGAAGGAGGGGCTGAGTGAACTGTGCGCCGCTCCTTGTCATCGCAGCGCCCAAGGAGGCCTGGTGCTGCTGTTGACCACCCAGCATCGCCGACGGCGCCTGCACCTGCCCCAGGTTGAACGACTGATGCTGCAGCGCCAGCGCTGCCGTACCTGAGCCAATGGCGCCGCTGCCTCCAAGACCCCCGCCCCGGCTGACACCGCCAGCCTGCGCGGCAAACGGGTCCTGGGCTCCACCCAAGCCTACGCCTACCCCTCCGCCGCCCATCAAGGCACCCACGGCACCGGCAGCGGGCTGTTGTGGCGGGTTTACGGGGAGAAGACCTTGAGACGCGGCTGGAGAGCCGTATGCCGCCTGCGGAGTGGAGGGTTAGGAGCAGGAGGACCGCTGACTCAAGATATGACATGATCCAAGTGACAGAGCCGGGTAGGACCTGCACTAGTGAGTGTATGTCGGCTTGCTGCTGGGTACAGGGATTCCCTCCTTCCCGAAATGAAGCTACGAGGCTTACCGCCACCACCACCCACGCAGAGTGGAGATCTTCTGTTGCCGATATATCTACATCAGAGCACGTATTCCTATCGTTCCGCTATCTACCACGCCGCCATCTAAATTCCTGACAAACCTTCTGGCGCTTCACAAACAAGTGTACAGAGGATGTAGGCATAGAGCTCGACGTTGCGCGTTGGAAGCCATGTTAGATCTTGCGCAGTCATACTATACATAACATAAAACACGGATTATAGATGACGCAGTGGCATTTGCCAGGTGACAGAGTGGCAGACATCTGTCCCCTTAAAGGCGGAGCGGTCCCATCTAAGGCGTAGACGGGGTGGTCATGTCGCGGAGGGGCACACTGACACACGCGGAGGCAGACAGAGCACCGGTGGAAGGTCGCCTGGGGTGCAGGTACTTGACACGGGAATATGGGGCCCTATACAATTTCAAACGCACATACATCATATATATATACATATATACATATACATATTATACGTATATCATATATTGTGTACATACATATACAGATGTACATATATGTGTGTGCAAAGCCCACTGGGTCGCAGCATTCTGCGAGATAAACCAATGGCCAATCGCCCCGCACCTCTTCCCAATCCGCAAACCGCACCTGCATTGCCGTAGAGTAGTTCCGTTTCTGGCCAGCTGCCATGTCGTACGACGATGGTGCGCCGTACGAGTCCATACCCAGCCCACCACCGCCCCGGCTGTTGCTGTCCCTGCCGCTGCTGCTCAGCCCCAATTGCACCATCGAGCCACCGCCGCCACCACCACTGCCGCCGCTGTTGCCATACCCAAGGTTGCCGTATCCAGGACCGTCGTACGAATCTCCTCCGGACCATTGTCCACGGCCTCCACCGTCGCCGCCGCCATTGCGGCCAAGTCCTCCGAACCCCGAAGCTGCCGAGTGGCTCGCAGGCATAAGGCCTGGCTGCACGGCACTGTAGCTCGTCCCACCACCACCACCACCACCGCTGAACGGCGCTCTGGACATGGGCCCGAGGTGCCCTCCTCCTCCGCCGCCGCCGCCGCCAAAAGGCGGTCCGCCGCTGCGAAGGCCGCCATGAAACGACGGTGGTGGCGGCGGCGGCGGCGGCTTCATCGATGGCGGCGGTAGCTGCCCGGTTCTGTTGAGCGCGTCGCGGTGGTGGATATGCGCATGTTGCGGCTGCGGCGGGCCGCCTCCCCCGGCACCAGGTCCGGCCCCCGAACGACCCTTCCGGCCCTGGACATGTGAAGGGCACCGGGAATCGTTTTCAAGACGAATCGGCGTGCGAAACGATTCCAATAATTCCATCACAGCACGTAACGATAATCATGGCGCATATATCCAGAGGACCGTTCGTCCTACCATCCAGCTGCGGCCGCGCTCCTTTCCGTCTTTCCGTTCGTCTGGCTACCGAATGTCTGACAAAACCACTTTTGGGACGGTTATATTTTTGGCAATTCCAACAAACTGATTTAGCTGATTATAATATTACCCGCGCAAGTAAACAAGCGCACATGACAGCCGTGCCGCGCGTCGGCCGCCTCGCTGAAAAAAGACGTCACAGTTGCCGCGGCTGTGCCGTCCTGGCCCTTTCCCGTCGCCCTGCAGCCGCACCCACTACTGCTGTTTCTGAGGCCGCGCCGGCGGCTCTTGGGTGCTTCAAGCTTTGTGGGTGGGTGTTGTTCAGACTGGGGCCTCTCGGGCTCCTCTTAGATGCGACTGTTTTCCTTTTTGTTAATTCTCGCGTGGAGACTTACCAGTCGATTTACGTGCTTGGCAGGTCGCGCAGACCGACCGCCATATGCTTAGCCATGACCGCCACGCATCTCAGCATGCTTTGCTGCAGATTCCAGATCCCCAATCATGCGTAACACCATCCAACACCCAGCCCGTTCCTAGTCGTGCCACCAGGCTTGTCCGCATTACCAGCAGCAGCCTCGCCTGCTCACCTTGTAGCTTTCGCTCCCTGTCTGGACTCGAACCCTTCCGTCGGAATCATCGAAGCCATCCGGCCCTTCCCTAGAGTCCGCCTCCCCTCCCCCCTGCAGCCCCTCCACAACTACAGGTACTACAGGTACTATCCCAATGCGGCGACGGTACTATCCCACGGGTACTAACACACACACACCGGCCCCTCCAAAACGCACTTAATCACTCACCCCGCCCCTCTCCTGCTCTGCCCTTCGACCGGGCCCTCGTGCAGCAGCCGGCGCGGCCGCCGCCGGCTTGGGCAGTGGCAGCAAGTCTTGTGGAGACACACCACGTGGCCCATCAAGCAGCTTCTCCAGGACGGCCGCGGCGGACACTTGCTTGGCGTCCTTCTTGGTCCGGGCCTGTAGGGGAGAGGCAGGAGGGACGAAGGGCTTCGCGGGTAAACAGTCGGGTAACAAGGGTCAAGAGAGGGGTAAGGGGGCATAGGAAGGGCGAAGCGACTTGAGGCGGCAAAGGGGTAGGACGGCATACATGGCCGATCTGACGGAAAGAGCATTGGATTTGAGGATAGCCCTATTGGTCACAACGCACCAGCAAGATCCGCTGACAACATGAAAACCCTGAAAACGCACACCAGCAACACCACTCGAGCGGCAAAAAAGCCTAGGCAAAGACGTCAAAACCGGAACAACAAAGACGAGCGCAACGAAAGGCAGAGCCGGGCAGACAGCGTTCAGCGAACCAAGGCAAAAAGAAACGAACAAAACAATACACGCAGCAAGACGACACCATGAGAACGATGTTTGTGGAAAAAACCACAAGGCCGTAGTTTTTCTCACCTTGCCGGAAGCCGTCGCAATGGTGGTACCCCGATTGCCTCCCGACAGCATGCGGGTCTCCACGGTGTATGGACCCGAGGGCCCATCGCTCGTCTCATGATTCGTCACCTGTACGGCAACAAGAACGGTGTCGATTTGTTGCAGGACATCACTTTGATGTCTAGCCAGTCGGTTAGTGAGCTGGCGTTCGTGCGCCGATATGCCTTTTTGGAACCACAATCCGCGGCTGAAGGGTATAAAGCCTTGCCGGGGGCTGGCAAGCCGCCGGCTCGTCTCGCCAACTGGGTTTGGTCATAAGGACTACGGACGATAGGACACGCGCAGTTTTTGTGCAAGGGGTTTGGTATCCTAACGATTGCTTTGTCCCCAAAACGTCCTATAGCTAGGTGATGATGCCTACACCGGTTTGCCCAGTCACAGATCGGCAGTATGCGACTTTGCCACATGGACACAAGGGAACCGCCATGTACTGCAGCACAATGCTGGCAGTTGCAGTACACTTGGACTGCCGTACCTCGTACGACATCTTGGAAGCGTACTCGTGCAGAATCATGAGGGGTGTCTTGGGACGAGGGGTTCCCTTGAGGGACTGCGAAGCGGCAGTGGACGTGTTGGGGGCCCGAGGACTTTTTTTTACTGGGTTGCTGTACCAAACCACCACCAAACAGCATTAAAGGCATTATTGGGGACTCCGGGTAAACGTGACCAAGGGCCAATAGCAGGAGTACAGCTCTCCAGCAGTACAGCAATGTAGTTATTGCCACTACTACTGCTTAACGAGATTGGGCATACGTGAGCTGCTGCATCCAGCAAAACCCGCGCCAACCCCCCAGACCCGTTCCTAGACCGTACGTCCCCGCTGCCCCCAGCACAGCCAACACGCACATTGATCAGCTTGTTGATCTTGGGATAAGCTGCCAGGGCTGTCGTCAGGTCTGGGGACATGGCCCCCGGAGCAGAGCCACCGCCGCCGCCGCCATTGCTACTGCCGCCACCTGCAGAAGCGCCGCCGCCAGATGTACCAGCAACAGCGGCGGCGCGACCAGCGCCGCTAGAGCCGGCCGTGCCCGCGGCCTTCTCCCCCGGCGTGCCCTTCTTCCCTCCCTTGCCAGTCGCCGTTGCTGACGCCGGCCCCGGCGCCGCAGCTTGGACCTGCTTCTTCCCGGCTGGGGCAGCCTTGGAGGCCTCCTCGCCCTTGGCTGGCACAGCCGCCGGCGCTGCCGGCGCTTCCTCTGTAGGGGTCGGCTCGGTAGCGGGGGTTGCCGCCGGCGCATCGGTCCGTGGAGTCGTAGCATCTGCCTTGGGCACAGCTGCAACATCCGCTTTGGGCGCGCCGCCGCCTTCATTGACTTCGCCTTGGCCGCTGCCACCACCTGTCTGGGGAGCCGCGGCGCATGGTTCACTCGCTGGCGCTGGCGCGGCAGCAGCTGCAGCCGCTACGGTTGCGGCTGTAGCCTGCCGCTTAGCCTCCGCCACCGGCCGCTGTTGAGGACCAGTTGCAGCGGCGGGGACCGCGGCGGCAGCGGCTCCGCCGCTGGTTTGCGCGGCAGCTCCCGCTGAAGCCGGATAGGCACGCTTGGCACCCCGCTGTACAACCTGCGCGCGTCAAGAAACGTGTAGCGGGGATACTTGCCGTGTATGTATGTATGTATGTATGTATGTATGTATGTATATACGTGGATATAGCATTATATATACACGTATACATATACATGTATACAGCAATCACCGGGAATTGAGACAAGCAAAAGACGGCTGTGGCGAAAACGCGTCTGCGGCGGCGCGGACCATGTGCCCTTATGTTACTACCCATGCACTGTCCCTTAGAGCGATGAAGTGCGTCCACACTTCATCGGCCGACGACTCATATCGGTAACTGCACATACTCCTCCCTCTATCCCCTTCAGTACTTTCAAGCAAACACCGTCACCATCATGGAACCAGCACAACCCATACAACGCACCAGCGCCGCGCACTTTAGTCGCAACGCGCACCGCATGCCATGAGCCCATGGCAAGGCCCATGTTAACCGCTACGCCGCGGTGGCGCCCGGGCATACCTGCAGTGCAGCCGCCACAGCCGCCCGCCGGTCCGGATGCTCCCTCAGCACACGCAGAAGCTCGTTGATGGATGCATCCGAATCAGGGCTTAGCGGCAGAGGCGGCTGCGTCCCCGCTGCCTGAGCCGTAGCTAGTACGGCGCGGAACGGCCGCTTGGAGGCGTGCAGCCCCACGCGTTGGCCGCACAACCGCGCACCGCCAGCCGCCGCGGACGCAGCACGCTGCGCCGCGGCCTCATCAGCAAAGGTGGCGAAACCGTAGCCTTTGCATATGGATGTCCCGCGGGTCATCTGCGGTGTGGGGAAGTTGGGGATTAGCGACGGGATCGAGGGGACGGAGCGGCGCCGACACCACAGCTGTTGTGGGATCTGAGAAGACTTGGAGAGGGAGGGAGAGATTAATCGACGAAAAGAAAGGTATAGGGCCCCCGACCCGTGGGCAACAAAGCTTAAGCGCAGAGCCGCAGTAATGCTGAAAGTATCGCGGGATGCGGGTTTGCGTGGCTACCTCCTAGCCCCAAAGCCGGGGATCATAACGTGCGTTAACCAGCCTGTATACCTCGGGACCTACAAATTAGTCTCTAGGTGAATTGCAGTACCCGCGCCGCACGGCGTACCGATACTGGCATGCGCCATGGGTGCTAAGGGTCCAGGAAACCGAATGTGCCCCTTCTGCCTCGCTCCGTACGCTCGCACCCCCACAAAAGCACAGATCACAAGACGAGAACAGTCCCAGCCTGGGGAACCCCCTCCCAGAAGGTTCTGCTAACGCGCACCTGCAGCCGCACTGAAAGCACCTCGCTCTGCGCCATCTCTGACAAGCCTCCCCGCACGTCCTCCTCGCGCGCGTCTGGCGGGAGCCCGCCGATGAAGACCTGCAGCAAACAGAACGGAGCTGAAAAGTTAAGGACAGCGCGGCTACCGAAGAGACATACATCCATAGCATGTATCTGTTGCTTTACAACCAGCACCATGTCTCCCAGCTGGCAACTGGTTTTTCGCCTCGCAGATTCCCCTTATTCCGTCCGCTTCTGGCGCTCCTGGTCTCCCGTTAATATAGCTGGTAACGGTGGCTGACGCTTGAGAAAGGCGGCACGAGCCTCGGGGCGCAGGAGCGCCGGACGCGGAAATCTAAAGGGAACTCTGCAAGGCGACTGGCTGGTTGACGGTTGGAATTGCAGCAAGGCATGCGTGCAAACGCACATCGTCGTCGGGCAGGGGCAAGCCGGCCAGGCATGGTGGCGTGCTTGATTGGCAAGCTGACTGCCATGTGCATTTGTTCATTCCGTGGGTCCGTGCGTGGGGTGTCCCCTACCCAAACCCCGAACAGCTGCAGCAGCTGTAGCAACGCTGACAGTACGGACGCAGTACGACACCCTTCAGCTAAAGGGAGCCCCAGCTTCTTGGCAGCCCCAACATGCATATTGGCCGGAGTATCGCTGTACCATTTAATGCGGGTGCGGAAGAGACGCTTGCGGGGCTATCACGCTATCACCGAAACGCACATCCAGCCAGCCCCGCGCCCAGCACGCGATCAAAGCGCGCCGCAAGGCCCTACTGCATGCACAGGGCTGTCCAAGCCCGGGACTGCGTCCCGTACAGCAAAGTGAACCGCCCGGGTGAGCGCGCCCTCCATTGCTAGCTGGCTGGATTGCGCGACGTAGCGGCCTATACACCGCTGTAAGAGGGACCGACATAAGCGCAGCTGCAACGGCAGCCGCTGCTGCGGCGGCGGCAGACCTGTTGCCCCGCCCCGACATTACCATTTCATAGGGCCTTAGGGCCTTAATGCAACGGAATGGAACTGACCCCACGAATCCCGCCCTCCCTCTCACACGTCCCACCTCGTAGCCCCCGGCGCGACCCTCGCCGGCTCCGTTGCCGCACACCGGCGCTGCACTCTCCACTTGGCGACTGGCCACCTCCCCCTCGCCTTCGTCGCCGCCCTGACCCTCTTGCCTGTCAGCACGTCAGCCGAGGAAGGCGGCGAAGGTTGGGGTCCAAGAAGGACACGGGCGACATGGCGCAGGGTAGGCGGACGCCAGGCGCTTACTGCCTCTAGTGGGCAGCACTTCTTCACCCAAAAGAACAAAAAGGACCCGGCGGTGCATCGCTTTCATGCTACAGCCCGTGGCCTCCCGCGAGAGGGGCCCACGACCAGCCCTCGCGAAAAGCACCGTGGATAAGACACGAGGACATGCATTGCTGTCACATCAAGGCAAGAGAGATGCCGCCGCACCGCCATCGCGGGTGTGGGGGGAATTTTATGCAAGAAATGAAGAATTAACTACCGACGACCAAAGTGCCAAGTGCCGGAACCCAAGAAGAAACCCTTAAGATGGAGGACCTGGAGACCTGCCATTAGGAAGAGCCGACAGGATCTTAAGAAGGGCATGAACCAAGGCAGCCACGAAAGCGCATGACCGGGGTCGCGCGCATGCAGACCTGGAGACAGTATAACCGGCACACGTGCACCTTCCGCGCAGTTCAGCGCAGGCGAGATGCACGCGCAGATTCAAATTCGCATGTGCTGTCCATGCCATGCGTAAGGATGGCATCGGGATAGCACCCTGACATGGCGTGTGCCACAGACTGGTGCCGGTCCCCGGCGTTTCCCATCAACCCGTCCAAGCAAGCGCATGGACGAAGCCCAAAGTCGCGACACATGTCACGGCTCGGAACACGGCGCTGCGAAAACATGCCAGCCTGCGCCACGCCACCAATCTGAAGACCATACCTAAGACCACACGAGGCCCCAGTGCACGAGGCCTTAGCGCCATGTCAGATACGTCCACGTTTTCTCTGGACCGTGTCTGTTATGCGCCGCTTGCAGTCAAGTCTTGCCGATAGTCCTTTACCCACCTCCACGTTAAGTAAGAATGGCAGCATACTTCAGCATACAGTGGCTTCAGTTTTCGTCAAATGCGATCCCAGTTGCTTACCGCGTGAATTGAATTCAAGGCCTCATGCCATGCGCATCATTGATCCTGCTCTCCCTTTTGAGCATGCGAAGCCTTAGCGCATGCATAAACATGGCCGGGCATTACCAAACGCCTAGACCGCGAAGTGCACTGTCCAGGCCTGCAGCAAACATATGCGTCCCTTGCGGTAGGAAGCCAACCTTGTTGCATTCCCAACCTCGTTGAATGCCTAAGAGGCTGCGTCCCAGCCCCCGCAGGTCGCACCGGTTCACCGTATCTTACATCCGCACGGGCGCAGGTGGCACCACGGCCGGTGCGTATAATACAGACATGAAGCCAAGCTTAGCAGATGGGCCAGGGTTGCTGCTCCAAAGGTGCTTGCAGGATTAACACGGTCAGTCTGCGCATGAAGCGCATGGACTGCCCAGCTCTCTATCGTTTCCTTTATGACCGAAACCAACGCAAGCCCACCCCCCGACGTGCCGCAAGTATGTCATGCAATAACGCTCATGAAACTCACGCGCTGCTGTCCACGGCAGCATCACCGCTGACCACAGCCACCGCTGCATCAGAGGGTCCTGGCTCCGGAGAGGTCTCTGGCAAGAGGGGTCCATCAGGCTTATATGCGCCTGTTGCCGCCTCCGCTTTAGCTTGTTCTGCATCGAGAAGTACGTCTGTCGCTGCTGTTGTCCCTTGCCCCGATGGGGTTACCGTGGTAGCAACCAAGTGAGGTGTGGAACTTGGATTGTCCACCACCATCGTGTCCGTTGCAGCCTTAACCAAGGTAGGTGCAGCTGCATCAATTTGGATAGCCCGAGAGACATCAGTCGGTTTAGGTGACGCAGGCTCGTCGCCAGAGCCTAGCTGCAAGGTCCCCAGTTGGCGTTGCGCTTCGTCAGCTGGCAGTGTTTGCTGCGTCGCGGTGCTGGCTGGTTGCAGCATAGCATCGTCCAGGGATTCTGGAAGCTGAATAAGATCAAGCAGTCGGGACTTCTTGTTCGGTCCATCTGCCATGCTTGGACTTGCGGAAGACATTGCCGGAAGGGTCCACCCGCGCCTTTGCAGCGCCCAACAGCAGCGACAAGCAACGGGGCTTGCCTATTAGAACTGCAGTATGCCTCCAAACTGAAGTGACAGTGGCTGCAATCACCCAGGCTGAAGTTACTTGCTGGACTCTAGGTTGAGAGAAGACACAGATGCGACCAGCGTTTTAAGTGTCAAGATGAACGTCCAGAAACATATGAAACAGCTTGTGGTGTAAGTCGATCGCCTGAAGCACCTACACGACGGCAATTTTGCCCCGATGCCGACAAGAGAAGACAGAACGACCAAAATATATAATTTTTCCCTTCTCAGACGGATAGGTTGATTGTAGGGGCAACGAGCCAATCCGTATCATGGTCGCCGTACAGTTTGCGGACAACACGCCCGTCAAGGCAGAACTTGCAAACAATAATTCGCCTGGCTAGTCGCGCCTGGCGTGTGGGAAGAAGACCCGTGTCATGACGGAAACGATTTACCTGTAAATCTGTATGCACCTCTGGAACGCCTAGTCCCTTGAGGGACGCTGATCTATCTAACCATTCTTGGGGGAAAAAGCCAGGTGCACACTGTATGGGTGCCGGCAAGGGTAAATTTTAGCATTCGGCGAGTGATAACCCGCACGGGAAGACTCATTGCGGTCATAGCACCCCTGCGATTGGGACACACCTAAAACGCTTTGCGCAGCGGCTCAGGAATGCTATGCAAAGAGTATCACGTCAGGAAGACTTCAACGCCAGCTATAAAGAAATTACCCTCAGGAGACTCCAGCCCTCTGCCGGCGGCCCCTGGCCTCCGGGAACCAGTGACCTCCCCACTGCACCGCACAGTAACCCAGGACAACCTGAACCTCCGGAAAATTTCGTGAAGCCTGACAGCAGATGCATGCGCGGATGGGGTTCGGATGCTGATGGGCCGGCCGCCAAACCTATTACGGCCACTATCATGCGTTTGCTTGTGTGTGTGTTGCACCTTGTCATGGCTGCGGTGTTGGGTCCATTCTCGTCGTGGGTAATATCCCAACACGCGCGGCGCTGTAGCTGTAGCCCGATGTGGGTGTAGTAGGTTTTCCCGGATGGGTGATTGCGGGCGGAAGGTACATGGCGCCAATATCACTCTTGCCCATACCGCGCCATACCTCTCTTGCAGTTGCGAAATCAGGATCAGCGCTGAAGTGGCGGTCGGCCGATACGCCAAGTCAAGATAGCTGCAGGTGGAGCGGCCCCTCACCCGCTAGCAGGTCTGTCTGCTTGGTGGCGGAGCCACTGGGTGGTGGGGTGCAGCAGGTGGTATGGGAACGTAGGGGCCCAGCCGGCCATTAATACCGCGGAGATTGCCTCTGCCGGTTTATGGCGCGGTCACGCACGAGGAAGCTCACTCGTGGGTTGTGGGGAGGAGGGGGCTTAGGCCCGGCAACTGACCTGAACCATCTTTGGCCCGGCATCTGAGCCGGCAGCATACTGAGTCCCCTTCCAGCCACGCGAGGTCAAATGGACTCATGGGGCACCTGCTCGAGTGGGGGTCAGCACCACCACCTACCGGTGGTGCCCGGTCACATCTACTGTAACACGGCATTCACTCATTCATCCACTCGCGCATTCACTTACTCCCTCCTTCGCTCGTATGGATATCGGAGGTCTCTCACATCCAGCGAGTACTATGGACGCATTGGATCCGAGATTCGTGGATGGATCCGATATGGGTTGGCAAAAAACCCTCCCTGGCCTTTATCCGGGCCCCCGGTTGAAGGCAGTACCAAGGGATTTTCGGTGTATGTGTCGAGGTGATGATTGACGTAGAGTTGTATGGGGGCTGTCCGGACCCAGAACACCTTGAGGATTGCGGCCCCCAATAAATATTTATTTTTTAGAGGAAAAGCAGCAAGTTGCAATACCTGAGAACGGGAAAAAGGCAAAGACGAGAAGGAAAAGTAGGAGGGCATGAAGGAGGAAACGAGATCAGTGGGGCAGCAAGGAACAGAATACAACAGGCAGCAAGGCACAGGGGCCATGAGGCACTGCAGACATCGCATACATAGCAGATATGCTGAAGGGATCCATATCCGAAATGACCGTCCCTAGAGGATCGACATCCGCACAGCGCAACCACAGAGCGACCTTAGCACAACAACGGGGAACCTGGCGCTTGCAGGCCTTATGTGCCCTACATCTTGGGTCTTTCTGATCAAACCGATGCGCCCAACCTTCCCTCGGACCCTCCAACATCAATCGCCAGTGACCACCAATGAAGGATTCAGTGGAATTGATAATACATCCAATAGGGCCAACTGTACGCGACCCGTTCCGGCTGGACAGCTTCTGAACACATTAGGATTGACGGGGAGGAAGTAGGCAGGGGGCACTGTGCAGAAAGGCCTTTAGGTGTAAGTGATGCTGCGAATTGGGTTTCAGGTTGGGTGGGTCTGGAACGGCGTGAATTCCAACCGCAACCCCAGCGTCAAACATTGAAGTTTGTACAAGGAGTGAGTTGCTAATTCTCTTTGGTCTCTTTGTATCCCAACGCTATCGTTTGGGCGGCTGTCTCGCATTTCATGACAACGCAGTTGGAAACTGCCTGGAGGGGGGTTATTATACCTCCATAAGCGGCATGCATACATAAGTGGTAGTTATTCAAAAGATATCCTGTTATTCAAACAAAATGTAAGTGTTTGTGGATTTCTGTTTCACGATTGCCGTACTCTAAGAGCCCACCGAAAACCTTCCAATTCCAACTACGCAATACACGCCGTTCATGTGCGCCTTTTATTAGAGCATCCAGGCTTGGCTTAGAGGCATACATATCATCGTTCCTCAGTTCAAAATCGATTACCAAATTGTCACCCTGCTGATTCTGTGTTCTTTGTGCTGGGGCTACCTTCAAGATGTCCCAATTAGAGCTGCTTGGCACAACGCTGCTGGACCATGTGCACAAAGGTCCCAACCAGGTCAGGCGTTGTTCATCCGCGTCTAAGGCGATGGTGCTAGAACAGGGCCCAGACTTTGCTTTGAGGTTCCATATAATATTATGGTCTGACTCCTTGTAATGTAGTTTATCGGCCTCCCTTATCGCTGCGAAACCCGCTGTCCGTCCTTTTGCATCTGTGCAACTCCCTGACATTTCTCCTCTCTGATCCCCAGGCCGGCAACAAGAGCATGCTGGCATACAATAGTTTGGTCGGAATACCTGGTTACACCGGTTACATTTCAGCTGGAGCTACTGTCCAGGTGCCCATTAAGGGCTTTGAACACACTGGTCGGCCAGCATCCACAAAGGCTACGGAGCAGCTGACTGTGAATACAGTAGATCCAAGAAAAGCAACCACGTGAGTCACAGGCACAAGCGCATGTCGTGCTGGGAAGCGGTTTGCCTTACCCTTGCGAGAAACCTCAACCCCTGTGACAAACTGCCGGGCACGATTTCGGTGCCGCTGCTACAACAAACCCTTCCAAATCCCTCCTTTATCTTCTCCACAAGTTCATCAACACCCCTCTCCAAACGTAAACCCTGCTATTATTTGACCGCAACCACAACCGCTCCAAAACTCCGGTAGCTCCCAACCTGCTTTCTCAAACACGTTCCCGCACCCCTACTCCCTCATCCCTGCCCCCTCTCCCCTCCCTCCCTCTCTCCCGTCCCAGGTACGGCGATGACTTTCGGAAAGTCCCTAGCGACACCCAACTGCCCACCAAGACGGGCGGCGGCTACTGGATTGCCGACCGCAAATTGCCTGCCGCCATGCCCTTTACCAGCACCAGCACCTACCGCGCCGAGCTCCTCCGCGGCGGTGAGACCGCCGCCGCCCAGCTCGAGCGCTCCAACGGCCTCGCTTGCACCCTCGTCGGCTACGAGGCCGCACGGCAGCACGCGGGAGAGGTCCGCCGCAGTATCAGCGCGGAGCCGCGGAGCCGCGCAGATGCAACCGTCCGCGGGATCGGCACGCAGACCGTTCTGCGGCCGGGGAGCAGCGGCAGCATCCTGGACAGCCAGCGCAGGGCAATGGCGGCAGCGGCGGTCACTGCCGCCGCGGCCGCCGGCACATCCGCCCAGGCCGCCAGCACTGTCATGTGCTCTCCAGAGCGCCGACCCGCCACCATGCCCACCACTGCGGGCGAGCTGCCCGGCTACCAGACCACGTACGGCATTATGAACGATAAAGTTGCGCGAAATACCACGGAGACGTTACTGGCAGGCCCGCGCGATCCGCAGATGGGAGACCCCCGCTTCAAAGTCCTGCCGCGCGTCATGAACCCCGGCATGAGCCGTACGTACAGCACGTACGGCGCGGATTACGGCACCGAGGGCCACGATCCCATGACTCGTCAAGCTCCGGATAAGACGGTCATGACACGGTTATCGACCACGCGCGATTTGGCACACGGAACGACCCGCAATGTCTGTCACATTCCGCGGTACACGGGCCACATTCCCGCCTCCGCTTACGCGACACCGGAGGGTGCCGTACAGGGCGAAGCGGCGGAGACGCGACCAGACCATAAGGCCCGTTCGTTGCCGTTCCAGTTGGATCAATACCCACGCGGCCGACTGCCGGGTTATACGGGTTTCAAACCCCAGGCGCCTCGCAACGTGGGAAACAACCACACGGTACGGATTCCGTCGGCAGTCACGGCGACTGGAGAACAAGGCCTGGCGGTGGTGGACGGCGACACGCTGCAGCAGGAGCGCGCGCACAACATCAACAGCAATGCCGGTCTTATGACGTTTTTCACCAACTCCTTCACCGGGACCGAGTTTGTGTCGGACAATGGGCTTGCGAATGCACACGTAAGCAGCTTCGATAAGGGAAAAAGGGAAAAGGCAACTGCCGAAAAATGCGGGAAGGAAGGGACAGCGAAGGCATGCGGGTAGAGGGCCGGTGTGTGCGTGTGGGGGAAAGAGAGGAGTAAGGGAAGGGGAGAGAGAGGGGATTGTTGATCTCCCTTTGGAAGCCTTCAGGTGTGGGATGTACATATAGGACGACGTATGGCCGGGTGGGGGGTCTTGTTGTCCCACCGCACACCATGCTCTGAACCGGAAGCCGCGGCTGGTGCGCGTCCTCCATCCTTTTTTCCCTTGTACTCCTCCTCATGCTCCTCCTCCTCATGCTCCTCCTCCTCATGCTCCTCCGCCTCATGCTCCTCCTCCTCATGCTCCCCCCTGCTGTTCTCTCCCTCCTGCAGTTGTACTACCGCCAAGCAAAGAGCCAGGGCAAGCTGGGAATCCGCACATCTCAACCCAGCAAGATCACCGTGTACGGCGCGCCTTTCCGCCCCGCGGCGTCCATGGTTTAGGTGTACGGCCAGCAGGACAAACAGCAGTAGCAGCAGCGGTAGCATTAGCAGTAGCAGTAGCAGCTGCTGGAAGGGACCCCAGGGTCAGCACAGAAGCGCGGACGCGGACATGGGCGGGTTTTACCTTTTACCATCACCACCGCAGTCCGCGGGGTGTAGTTGGTTGGTTGGTTGGTTGGTTTATTCGGTCCCATCGTCCCAACATGTTGGGTTGGATGTGGTGTGGTGTTTTATTGCGTGGGGCAGGTGTGAGAGTGTATGGACGTGTGGCGGGCCGGGCCGGGTCCGTTTCTTACGTTCTTGCTGCTCGCTCGTCCAACTTGTTAAGCGACGGTTGCCGGTTGGTGGTTGGCCGATTGGCGCGAGCGGCATTTCCGAAGCGCTGCCATCCTCATTCTCTTAACTCGAACCCGGCAGGCAAAAAATCAAAAAAAAGAAGACACGATCCGTCTCCAGCAAAAGCAGGTTTCACAGTATCTACGAATCTAGACAGAATGGGTGTTTTAAATTAGGCATAGTATCATGTCGTACAATATTGCGCGCAGGGGTTTCGGAGCGCCGGAAGGCGCTGGAAACGGCATTTCCGTCCATTTATGAGCATTTCTAATCACATTTTTAATGATGCCTGTGATTTCCCACCAGTTGCAGAATCAGTTGATGTTGTTGCGAGAGCTTTTGAAGTGGGTTACGGGTGGGCAGACCGTATGGTGGATTGGAGCTTGCTGCAGGACTATGGCCGCGATGTGGTTCCTTAGGCAGTGATGTATGGACAAATTAATTAATGAATGAACAAAATCTGAATTTGCCCCAGGAAATCTGGATGGAATCGGATCACCGGTGCTGCCCACACAATCCCAACGGGCAAAATATTGTGTACCGCATGAAGCGTGTGTACGACTATTTACAACTGTGTAAATACGAGCGCGAGGACAAATTTGCCTCCGCTTGTGGCGAGCAGTGCAGGTGGCTGCGGCCGCGTCCGGGTGCCGAGGGCTCAAGAACACGGCATGAGAGAAGCAAAAAGCATAATAAACTGCAGTTGCGGAGGAACTGGGTGAGGAACAGTGTTGGGGGGGAGGAGGTGTTGCATGCGCAGTACGGCGCAGGGGAGCTACGGGTTGGTCGCCTCATAGACACACACGTGGCAGCCACACGGCATGGGCCCGTCCGGGGCGCGCGCTGTGTGTTCAAACGTGCGCGGCGTGACTACGACGATAATCTCGTTGCCGCAACGACAAGGTAGACACACCTCCTGTATGCAAAAGTTGCCCACCATGCCACACAAATCATAACCCCCCATGTAACGCACGCGATGTGGTTCGTCCAACAGCTCCTCATGCGACATTTCCCCCCAGGCACACAGATATACATACATGCCGCCACCACATTGCGCTCCATGTCATTTCATGTAGTATAGCCCATTCCCCCCGGTGATATCGCACATCACATCACCCACCGCCCTGCACTTCACACCGCACATGCTTCCACAACCTACAACCACATGCCGCCAACGGAAATACCAGCCGCCGTACCATACCATCATCACTACTTCATTATCATGCGTCACCAGTTGGTGACGGTGGCCGCAGTCACAGTCTTCTCCCGTTCGCGGAAGGTCGTGTGAAGCAGCTGCCGGGCGGGTGGCGCACCGGGCCGCCCGCCAAGCCAGCTGCCGTACAGCGCCGCCACGGCGGGGTTGTCGGCCGGAGAGCGTGCCGCCACGTCCTGTGTTTGGGGACGCGGTCGCAGCGGGTATTGAGCGGGGGTTGTCCGTCACGAGGGAGCGGAGAGGCGTAAACACAGCATTTGGAAGCGAGAGGAGAATGAAGAACAGTCTCAGACGACAGGACGGGATGACCTTGACTTTGACACACACACACACATATACACACATATGCACGCACATACACATCCATCCATCGGTGTTTCCTTTTCTCCGTGGCTTTTAGGCGTATAGCTATTGCCCTTGGGCCTTCGGCTCGTATGGGTAGTTTTACAGGTATGGGGTCACGCACCCCCAACCATGTAACACACACACACACATACACACATACACACATACACAAGGCAGGCGGCTGGCAGAGGTTAAGGCCTGACTTCTGCTCCCAGTTGACCCAGTCGACCCGGGTTCAAATCCGCCTGCCGGCTCCTCGGGTGTTTGAGGAGTGATGAAATGGGAGGTGGCCCCCCATCTTATGGACGGTGTAGGACGTGATAATATCAACTTGCGAGCTGACCAGGAACTAAGTTGATGCGCCGTTGATCCGCTAGATTTGGTTGGATGCTGGTGGTGAGTTGCCGAACCCAACGAATACATTCTGAAGTCGGATGGGGTGACGGATTAGGGTGCCCCTCTAGCAGGGGAGAGCAGGGACTGCCCCGGGAAAGGGGGCCGCTGGCGAAGTTAACCACCCTGTAACAACATACACACATCCATCCAGCCATCTAAGCAGGACAGGCGCACCGCACAAAGTACATTTTTTACCCCCAAGGCCCCCCAACTCCCCAACCGCAAAAAAACATCTTCATTTCCTGCTCGTCCTCCTCCTCCTTTCCCCCTCCCTTCCCAATGCCGTACCGTGTGGACGTACAGCAGCTCCAGTTGCTCGATCAGTTGCTGGGGAGTTACCCCCGGCCCCGGCTTGATCTGACCTCCCCCGTTCAGACAGCCACTGGGGCACGCCATGACCTCCACGTAGTGATAGGGACAGCGACCCCGCTTTAACTGAAACAAGGAGGCGCGGGGGGGGGGGAGGGTGATGGGGGAAAGACGAACCACACACGATTGAAGCTGCTGCCAGGGTGATGGGGGGTGATGGGGGTAGAGGGAGGGAGATCGGGTTGGAGCAGAGCACCCGCATTCCCCGTCAGTGTTAATCGGCAGTACAAGTGGGGTGAGGTGGTGGAGGAGGTGCAGTTGTACGACCGCCTGCTACGGCAAAGCTGTCACATGCTGGTCGAGGTGAGAGTTCGTTGAGTAGGGGAGCGTAAAAGAAGGTATTGGGTGCGGCCGTGCATGGGCGTGGAAGGGGGGGAAAAGACGAACCACGAACGAGTGAAGCTGCTGCCACCAAGGAATGAATGTACAAGATGCAGAACTGACCCGTAAGGGAAGGGAGGGGAGAGGGAAGGGAAAAAAAGGGAAGGGAAGGGAGGGGAGAGGGAAGGGAAGAAAGTAACTGAAGTGCTTTTCCTTTAGTGGCCTACGCTGGCGCCGAAACTTCCGTTGTTTGAAAACCCTAAGTCATTAGAGAAACAGTCGACACATGCGGCCCCCCCCGGAGGTTCAAAACGCACGAGCGCACAGGAAAAAGGCTGCTGGTTCGGAACACATCGCGATCGCACATGTACATGTACATTTACATTTAAGTGTAGCGCAGAGGTTGTGGTGCAGATGGGGACGCATATCGGGGAGCATCTAGTAGAAACAGGCAACAACTAATGTAATACGTTTAAGTGCAGCGCAGGAGTAAATGCCAAAAAACATTCCATTAAATAGAAGAAGTGATGTGTGAGAGATGCTAAGAGATGCTAACTAGTTGCTCAGTCAACGTATTTGATCCTGAAATCGTAGCCTGTTGGGTACGGGTTGGTTACGATCCGATTTGGAGAACGATTCTACGAGTGCTTCTTGCTGTATACCTGCTGTAGCAACGTTTGGATATTACGGAAGCCGTACACTCGCGCCACTACGAGCGACTGCCCCGGGGCCCCTACCCGGGGCTCCCCGGGTTGGCCCGGTGGGGAAAAACACATGCCACCGGTGCCGGCGGCCGCCATGTCGTACAAGGAAAGCTCCTGGGAGGGTTCCAGAAGGCGGGGGAGGTATCCAGATAAAGCACAAGCTACGAAGGGAACATTGTTTTCAAAAGTCCAAGAAACAACAAGCTGTACGCCGTACATTAAAACACCGTACGACCCAGACTTGGATCCAGAATCCAAAACCCGACCTGTAAGTCGGCGTTACGCCTCGTGCGCCACGGCAGCGGCCCCGGCGGCACCTCCACACCCCAGAGCTCCCGGGCTGCCGTACGGAACACAAAATCCGCATAGCCGCCGCTACTGCTGCCGTGCGGCAAGCTGTACAATTGATCATCAGCGGGTACGACGCCTGGCAGTAGCGGATCAGGCGCGGCGGCTGGCGCGGCGGCTGCAGCTAGGCCGCCCGCCTCTGTGCTGCAGCCCGGTGCTGCGTGCTGCTGTAGCAGCTGTAGCACCTCAACCGTTGTGAGGCAGCAGTCCACCTGCATCAACGGTAAACGAACAAACGGTCAACGAATCCTCCGGGATCGAGGTCAATCTCACTCCCCTCCAGGACCCTGGGTGCATTGGGTTGTGTCAACATCACCGTGGCCTGGCCGGCATGCCCAAACCATTCACACATTCAAGCATACACACATTCCGTACATTCAGTACAGGTACGACAACACACCATATGACTTGGCAAGCGGACGAGAACCAGAAGGGAAGAGCTAGCGAGCCACGCAGAGCTATGAACTCAGGTTGATAGGTTTTTTATTTCTGGTAGTACGGCAACCTATTCCCCCTCACTCGCGTGCCGTACCATTACCTCCGGAAGTGGACCTCCAACAGCCGCCCCAGCCCCGGCCGCATCCGTCCCGGCGGCGGTTGTGGTGGTTGCGGTGGTTGTGAGCTCGTCCCGTGACGCCTCTAACTTCTTGTCGTAGCACGGCATAATGGTGACGTGGTACAATGACCCAGGGGTCACTCCCCAGGCTGCCGCCACCAGTGATTTTACCAGTCCACCCATGGCACCCTGAGGGCTGCGAGTGGTGGAGAGGTACGGCAACACTCGTGTCCCATGGGTCTTTTCCGCGTAGCACACCCAGCCTACGTAGCCGGCGCCGGAAGAACAACAGGGCAGGTTCGGGATGAGGTGGGGTTTATAAAAACAAAAAAATGACCCTGGTGAGAATCGAACACGGACGCACACGGATTCGAAGAACACGGACGCCAGTGCCCGCAGATGGTGCCGCAATCCAATTTTGAAGTGGAAAGCGGGGCGATGGGGAGTAGAATAGTAGGCGGGGAACCACACCGTAACCACACCAGGGCCTTATATACACATACATATATACATATACACACACACGCAGAGTCACCCGTACCTGGACATGAGGATCCCATGACCGGCAGGGGCCCTGCAGCTGCGGCAGGAGCCGAATGATGGCCCGTAGGTACGTCACCTTCGTTGCTACAGCTGCTACTGCTTGCCTCAAGGGAGGATCGATACCTGCAGCAGGTCAGAGGCGATTGTAGCCACAGCGTGCCGTACATGCGAATACCAGCCTTCCTCATGCTCCTCATGCTCCTCATGCTCATCACCATTATCATATACACATACACATATCATACACACATACATACAAACCCACCTGTTCATGAACTCCGCCGCCTCCTCCAGAAGAACGAGGTCCCGGGCGGTTGTGAGATCCCAAACCGCCCGTACACCCAACCACTTTAACCAACCAACAAGACGAGCAAGCGCCTGACTTGGACACAATCCGTAATAGGCTGCGCGGCGGGATGTGGGGGGCGCATAGACACACATACATACATGCATACATACAATCAGTCAGGCGTAACTGTGTATTGTTGCTGTGAAATGGAATATGCCGTTCTCGGCACTTTCCCCTTTCCCTTTTCCCCTCACAACACCCTTTTTCTCCATTTCCGTCTTTCTCGCACTGCGCACGAGCAGTTTGCAATTTGCGATGTTCACAATGTGCCCCCCTTGAGTCGCGTGCAGCGCGCCAGGGAGCCAAGTCATCGCGCCAAGAAGCAGCACGTCCCGAGGAGCACAACACCAGCAGGCGGGTGGCGACCAGGTACCCGCGCCCGGCACCCGACACACCCGCAGGACCGCCCCCGCACTTCGTCTACTCAGCTGTGCAAGACTTAGACCCACACATACAAACCCCCTACCCAACCCCCCCAACCCCCCCACCCAACCCCACACACAAAACCCCGTACTTTTACACTCGCCGGGCCTTGTTATACGATACAACTCTGCCTCTTCCAGCACACATACCTCCGCCCAACCCAACGCAACACGCACACATACATACCGATAGACATGCACTAAGCCACATGCACGCGCGATGAGACATACATACGCACCCGCCAGCGCCGTTCGCGATTGCGGCGACACAGTGACCACCACGGTGGTGTGCGGGTCAGCCAGCCGGCTCAGGAACTCGTCCCCGCTCTGCTGCTGCAGCAGCACCGTCTCGGCCGAGGTGATACAGCCGCTGCAGGCCAGGCAGTCGTGCAGGGTTACCTGTGCCACACACACATACATACATACATACATATATACACATACATACATACATACATACATACATACATACATAGTTTAGGTTCTCAGGTGCCCTTGTTGTCTGTAGTCAGTTTCAACCGCCCACCACCTAATCGCCCTTCGCCACTACTGCACCGCCTATTTCTACAGGCTCTTGACACCGTTCCTCTAATAACCAACACCTACTGAGAATTTTTTCTAAAATATTAAATCACGTGTCGCTAGAGTTCGGAGCTGGCTTCGGTAAAGTTATCCGTGTATATGATATACCGTACATCACCATTTCGCCATTTCCCTCATCGCGGCAGCTCCTCCCAAGGGCATCGCAGTAAGATGGCGAAACGGTTTCCGCGACTCTTACCCCTCTGCCCCTTCCCACACGGCACAGAAACCCTGCGCCCCTTCCTACACCCCCTCTCGGCTTCTGATGGTTTCGGTCTCCATTTGATAGCGTTCCCAGCGGTAGTGGTTTTCGTTGGATACCCCCTCCGTTACCATCTCCAACTACACCTGTCCCCCGACTCCCTGGCTTCAGCGCCATAGGGAATAACTACCAGCTACTGCCAGCTACTGCCTCCGGCCTGTCGGCCGTACCTTGACTGGATCGCCAGGCGCCGCAGCCGGCGGCCCTCCCCCCGGGGCACTCGGGGGTTTCCCGGACACGCTCCGAAACCCGGCACGCGGTTGCAGCTGTACCTCCTCCGACATCTGGGGTACGGGAAAGCCGAGGAAAAAGGTTGTGCGTGTGTATTTGTGTGAAAGTGTGTGCGTCCATTGCACGGTTGTATTCCGTGTGCACGCCAGGGGGGTGGGCGCAAAAGGGGGATGACAGGTCCGGGCCTGCCGGTACCTGGCATGTGCACAGCTAGTAGGCCTCTTGGGCCATGGCCAGGGTAATGACGTCCGGCATGGCACCCATAAGACTTTGGCCAGCTTGGGCAGAGCAAGGCACAGTACTGTTACGACCGCAGTGGATGAATACAGACGGTTGGAACGGATGGGCAAAGGTTCGTACCTCGCTTGTACGTAGTTTGCCATTCAATGCCACCACGCAATCCTGTGACGGTGCGATGTAATCGTTCAGGTCCGCGACGCGAATAGTTGAGGAAAACTCCATCCTTTCGTCGGCGCTTTCAATGAAAAGCGGCGCGGTTTGATACAAAGTACAAAGATGTGACAGTAAGCTTTGTTAAACAAAAACTATTTAAGTGATGATTCATCATCGGTTCTTGTGCTGCAGGGTTTGTCGCTGCCTTGCGGTCGCTGCAAAGCAGTATGGGTTTTCCCGATATCCTATGTCTTGGCGATATGGCAGATTCTTGGGGTCGCATTTTGAGGTTCATGACGTTGGTGCGCTGCCTCGCGCCAACGCGCGAATGACAAAGCGCCGCACAGCACACCGTACAAACGACGACCAACACTTGGATCAAGCATCATGCGCAAGAATCATTGATGGTAGCCTTGCTTGCAAGGAATGAACGAAACATGCAGCAGGAACCCTTCTCGAACCGCGGAACGGCTTCTCCTTTGTTCTTTCCGGAATACCGGTAGCTTCAGACGAACTCTTAAAGTACAACCATCGACAGTCCTCTGCCACCACAGGTTACCATTTGCGCCAAGCCTTGGCATCGCGTCAGCCGTTCGTAAGGCGCGGTTTCCAATCGGCATCCGTGGCTGTGTCATCCACTGTGGCATCCAGCGAAGACCCGGAAGCCAAAGCCGGGGCGATGCTGATCCTCGAGGTAACTTCGTGCAAGGTCCATACGCGAACTCCATCCATATGGCATCTCCTTCGCGTTGCGCCCAGGTAGCTGTCGCCCATCTCATCACCCTTGCAATCGGCGCTGCTCTCATGCTGTGCGCTGTTGCCGCCACCTCTTACATCAACTCCACAAAAGCGCAATTACGCAGAGACTCTAAACTGTCATAACGCCATCTCTGCTTCACGCGCCCTCTCTCCCCGAAGAGCGGCCGTGTGCGATGCAAATCCACCCACACCATGCCGTACGGGTGTATGGGAATCAGTACATGCTAGGAAGTTCTCGGCCGACATACGACAGACTGACAGACTGACATGCCTTCAGGACGCCATACAGATTTTCCTGGACTCTTAAACGTTGTTCTTGGGCTTGAACAGATCCATCTCTACCGCCGTAACCCCACGTGAACATCTAACTGCAGCTGCCGTACTCCCAATTGCATACTGAATCCGCGTACAGATCATGGGTGTATTTAGCTCTTCCCCTCAGTCCCCCCCCCACACCCTTCCCC